GATTAAAACACGAACAGAAATCTAAAAATTAAAACACGAATTTACATGTTCAAAATAATCTGGAATTAAGTTAAAATAATCAGTAGTTATAATCACCAAAATTTCAAAACATCATTACTATAAAAGCCCTAAATCAATTGTTTATAAAAACCCTAAAATCATGATTTTCAATAATTAAAAACCCTAGGTTATAAAATTTATAAAATCTAAAAATTATGACATTTATAAAATATGAAATTATCAAATTTAATCATCAAAATACAATTTGATACTAATTAAATTAATTTCAAACAATAAAATCAAAACCCATAAATCAATAATTATAATTATACAAATTAATAAAACAAAGGAGAAAATAAGACTAACCTTTTTGTGTGGGAAATTTTTAGGGATTCATGGGGTATTCATAGGAGAGAATTGTAGGGTAAATAAAAACGGGTGCTACCTATTATTTGCAACAAAACTATTTCTTTCCTAATATAGTAACTTTTTTCTGGTAAAATGACCAAAATACCCTCATTTAAAAATTATTTACACATAATACTTGCTGTAATTTCATGTATAAGAGTGTATTTTAAGGTTTTTAATGTATTTTAAGGTTTTTATGAAGAGGAGGGCCTAATATGGATTTATCATTCCTAATGCAATTAGAATTGATTTTAGTCTTCTAGATTCTTCTAGAAGGTTCTTTTCATTCCTAATTCAATAATTATTATCATGTGAAAGCATGTAAAATTTGGTCAAGTACGAGTTTATTAAGCATAAAGTTCAGTTTGTTGAGTGTGCATGTTGAGGATCAATTAATTTACAGCAATATAAAACACAAAAGTTTGAATGGTTTTGAAAAATTTATGGGTTTGGGGTTAAGTTTCGAGGGCGAAACTTTTAAGAGGGGTATATTGTAATCCCCCGTATTTTTTCAATATTTTATAAATGAAAATTTATTTTATTTACAATATTTATTTGTTATTTTTCATAATTTAATTTCAAAAGTTTCAAATTATTAATCTGGGTCGAAAATTATTTGAACAAATTATTTTATGCACCTTTATTCTACAATTTATGTCCAATCACACAAACCCAACCCATTTGTTTACTTAATAGACCCATTATTTTTATGAGGCCCAATCTTCCTATTTACCCTACAATTCTCTCCTATAAATACCCCATGAATCCCCAAAAATTTTCCACACAAAAAAGTTAGTTTTATTTTCTTTCTCCTTAGTTTTATTAATTTGTGTAATTATAATTATTGATTTATGGGTTTTAATTTTATTGTTTGAAATTAATTTAATTAGTATTAAATTGTATTTTGATGATTAAACTTTATAATTTCAGATTTTATAAGTGTCATAATTTTTAGATTTTGTAAATTTTATAACCTAGGGTTTTTAATTATTGGAAATCATGATTTTAGGGTTTTTATGAACAATTGATTTAGGGCTTTTATAGTAATGATGTTTTGAAATTTTTGTGATTATAACTAATGATTAGTTTAACTTAATTCTAGATTATTTTGAACACTTAAATTCGGGTTTTAATTTTTGGATTTCCGTTCGTTAATATTAATCCCGGTCAGGTTCTGAACTCATTCGATTTTGACAAAAAAAAGTAGTGTTTTCCATGTGGAAACAACGTTTTAAGAAAAATTCACTACCTTTGGTAGTGAGCACCACCCTCTCGTGGTCAAATTCAGCCTTTAAATATGATTTTCGGGCAGTTTTTTTTTTTTTTTTATTTTTTTATTTTTTTTTATTTTTTATTTTAACGAAGTTTTTTTATAATTAAAATATTATCCTTGAGTTTGATTAATAAAATTTATTATGTTTAAAGTTAATTAAGCATAAATATATGTTTTTATTGAAGTTTTATGTGCTGGAAATAGTTTCTAAGTACTACTTTTGATGTTTTATAAAGAGGGTTTAATCACCCATTAAAACGGGAGATTATTAGGGGTTTTTAAATAATTTTCAGATTTTTATTAAACTTTAAACTTGTTGTAATTTCATGTATAAGAGTGTATTTTAAGGTTTTTATGAAGAAAATTTAAAGAACTATATATAAGCCTTTAATTATAACTAAAGGGAAGGTTTTAAAGTGTTGTTTGATTTGGATTTTGAAGGTTTTAAAGTAAGTTAGTATTGCTGCAAATTTGATTGATTGGGTATTGATTGAGATGTTATTGTTTGGTTTAGGAGAGGAGTTTATTGAAGGTATTTCTAGTTTTAAAGTGGTCAACCGAATTGTTTACACAAGGTACGTAAAAGTTACGAAACCTTGTTTTTAGGTGCATGTTTAAGGACGGATCGAGAACTTAGTATCATGTATAGGGATGACTAAGTTAAATTGTTTGGTTATACATTGTGAATTTTATATGATGTGCACTGTTTTATATTACAAGTATTATTTGTGCTCTAATTATGCAAGGTGCGCTTAGAGGCAAAGGCATGTGATTGGTGTAAAGATTAATTTATTACTCATTCATGATTATGCAAACAGGATGAGTAAAGGAAGAATTCAAGTCTTATAAGACGAGGTTAAGGTTTTGGGGTGCCTTATGCACTCAAGGTGTTTATACACTGAGGTAGTTAAAGGAATAAATAATAAATGTTGCTTGTCACTAATAAATCAAGAATTGAAATTGGCCTGGAAAGTTGTTTTACTTGATTGAATTGATATTGGATTGATTGTATTGTTATGCATATGATTCATCACCAAGTCTAAACCTGTAAATCACGTAAAGTGCAAGATGGATGAGCAATAAAACTCTGGATCGGTGCACATCTGGAGTAATGACAATCAGGGGTTGGGATACACGGGGTATTAGCCGTGCACTTTTCTCGAGGCCGTCTGATCTACGAGTCTCCTATTTCAAATATTTTTTTTAAAAAAAACTAGGAGTTAGGTGAGATCTCATACTAACTACGGTCATGGAGCCGCGCCCGTGGTCGTTGGATGTTTATTGATGTTCCCGAAAGGAGGCATGGGGTTTTTCTTTTATTGATGTTCCAAATGGAGCATAGGTTGGACAACCTTGTCTATTGCAAAATCCAGTGAATAAAAATAATGATTTACCTATTATTAATTAATGGAGTCTTTGTAATATAAATAGTTGAGTCATGTGTTGAGTCTATAATTTAATGATGCATGATGATTGATTATTAGTAGCATGTTTTGGATTTCTTATTTGTTTCGCAGCTTGTATGTACTCAGCTTTGCAGATTGCGTGCTTTTGTGTGTGACTTTCTTTGGTCATGGCCTTCGCCTTTCAATGACCCTATGACGATCCAATTTTACACTTGTAATATTGGGGAGCAGATTAACCACAGGTTCTTACATACGCAACATTCACATCAGGGTTGTGGGATTTTGAGTAGAGAGTTGGTTATTATTCGCAATTTATTTCTTTTCATAAGTTTGAATTTATTTAAACTCTGGTTTTATTTATTTACTACTTTTGTGGGGTTTTGAATAATGGCCTTAATGGTTTCAAGTTTTATGATTTAATTTGGTTTTGGTTATTGGTTTTGAAACTTATTTATAATAACTGAGTTAGTTTTTCCTGCTAATTTCTGATATAGCCTTAACGTTTGAACACGTGGCAGTAGCATTCCAGTAATTCTCTTGGATTTTGTTCAGGGTATTTACAAGTTTTAAGAGAGAATTATTTGGGTGTTACAAAGTGGTATCACAGCTTAGGTTCGATTTAATTACCACTAAAGTCAATTTAAAGTTTTTGGGCGCGTATTGTTTTTAAATCTAACGATTTTAGATTTAAGTACTTGATTTAAAGTTAAAATTTTGTTTTTGAAAATTATTTTATTTAAACTCTGGTTTTATTTATTTACTACTTTTGTGGGGTTTTTAATAAGGGCCTTAATGGTTCCAAGTTGTATGATTTAATTTGGTTTTGGTTATCGGTTTTGTAACTTATTTATAACTGAATTAGTTTTTCCGCTGCTAATTTCTGATATAGCCTTAACGTTTGAACACGTGGCGGTAGCACGCTAGAAATTCTCTTGGATTTTGTTCAGGGTATTTACAGGTTTTAAGAGAGAATTATTGGGGTGTTACAACACGATAAAATGAGTTTTATTCTGATTCTAATTTTGACTCTTTTCTGATCTTTTTCGGTCGTTTTCGCTATAATAGAGGACGACTTCCTCCGTTTTTACTCACCAACAATCATCATTAATCATCTTCTCTTTCTCTCTCTAATATAAAGGTTATTCTTTCTCTCCCTCTTGATTTTCTAAACCTTTTCCTAAATACACACCATACGTCCTTCACGAGACACCAAACGAAGCTCGAAGTTGCCTTAGGCCTCGACGTGAAAGATTGATAGTTATGTGCGTTTTGTCCCAAATCCATATTTCAATTAATATTATTATTATAATTGTTTGATTTAATATTTTTAGTGAAGTTACTAATGTGTATTGTTTTAATAGAAAGAGGTACGAGGCATCAAAGTAAGTAATTTAATTATTTCTTTTGATGGAGAAATCATGCTTAGATTATTTTATTAATTCCTAGTATCATATTAGGATGTCTTTATTGATTTTTAGTATCATGTTAGGATAAAGCTTTGATTTTTATTGTTTAATGACATATTAGGATTTGTTATTAATCATGTTAGTATCATGTCACTACTACAAAAAATGGAATAGACAACGGTTGAAATAGGCCTATTAGAGCGCCTAAGAGGCGATCTTCTGCTAAGTGATGTGTAAAGTTTACAGAACGGGTATAGAAGGTGTTCTATATGCAAGGGAAAAGAGAACGGGTACAAGAGGCGTTCTATATGCAAGAGATAACCGTTCTCTTTCCTATTTTTTATACTTATAAAAATTAAATAAAAGAGAACGGTTAACACAGATAACAATTCTCTTTGTTGTTTTTTTTTTTTAAAAAAAAATATAAATTTTGGGAGATTGCATGTAAACTAATCTACATCAGTAATCAATAAATCAAATTGAATTGAAGTTTTAGTCGAAATCAAATGCCAAATTGAAACAAACTTTATTATCTTATTCAATTAATTACATATCATCTATTTAAAAAAAAATTAATTACATCTCATGCCTAAAAAAAATTACATCTCAAGTACATTGATACAACTCAATTAGCATAACTATCAATATGCTAGTACTGTTTCCCCTAAAATCCAAAAAAAAAAAAAAAATGTGCTTCAAGCCTTCAACCGCAGTTGCGCTTTCACCAACCTCAACAACCGCAACGCTTTCCACCAACCTCAACCACCGCAGTGCCTCCACTAACCTCAACCACTGAAACTCCTCCACCAATAGTGCACGCAAATAGGAAAGCCGCACCAAACACCCAAAATCATAGATGAAAAATCAGAATTTACCAAATCATAAAATTAAAATCAATTGATAAAAGTTATAGATCGAAAATTCACAATTGAGAATTAAACAAGCTACCTCAATAATGTTACCCAATAAATCTCAAAACAAATTAAACATTAATTAAACATCAATTAAACATCAATTACATCAATGCACAACAATAGATTCTTACCTCAAAACAACAACACGAAACGCCATTGGAGAAGACGAAATAGCCGTATAAAATAAAAAAAATAAAAAAAATCTTACCCAATAAATCTCCCATAGTGAGCCATTAGCAATCTCTCTCAGTCTGTCGCCCCAAATTGAAAGAAACCATAAAACGCATCGTTTTGAGTTCGCGGTACTCGGCTTCTAACGCGCGACCATAAACAGAGCAAAACAAAACATTGAAGGATGAAGGTAAAAGAGAAATTAAAGGAGTTAATCGGACGGTATGGACAGGACACTTGTAAATAGAGGAAGACGACGACGGAGAGAAGGTTAATCAGACCTCGGCTCGGAGTTTTTAGGACATTGATCCATTGAAGGATGAAGGTAGAAGAGAAAGGATTTAGAGTTTCAGAGGAGGGAGGAAGTACGAGAAAGAAGAGGGGAAGTTATGGATGAAGAATGATAGGTTAGTTGACGGCTATCTTAAGAAAAATGAGGAGTTAGGGTTAAAATTTTGGGCCCTTTCATATTTTAGATTATTCTTTTTTATTTTTTAAAAAATAATATTAAGCATATAGAACGGTTAACTAAGAAGAACGATCTATATTGTAAGTGTAAAATATTTGGATATACCAAATAGAACGGTTAACTAAGAAATGCGTTCTATAAAATAAATTTACAATTTAATAAATATAATAAATAAATCAAATAGAATGGTTAACTTAGATAGACGTTCTATATTCTTCTGGAGAACGTCTATATTTTGCGATCTCTAATCTAGTTTTTGGTGTAGTGTGTCTAAGATCTTGCTGATATGCTTTGAGATTATTATTATGATTATGATTTGTTGTGTCAATATTAATAACTATATGTTGCTTGATATTATTATTGTTATTACTTGATCACGCCTTTTCTGCAATTTTAAAGGGAATTTGTACTTGAAATCACGCTTAATAAGATTTTTAATTCAAGTGATCACCAATAATAGATCTATTTGTACATTAATAATCAACCAACATAGATTAAATATGCTTAGGATTAATTTATTGATTGTATGTTAACTGAAAAGCGCACATGAATATGAGAAGAATAAAGTAGATGCCTATTTAGGGAGGGTTCAATCTCTTTTAGGTTGGACTCATTCCATCATCCCCGAATATCCATCATGGTTCAGGACCACTATGGATTTAGCGATCTCTGTGATCGTGAATAGGGTGTAAGCTTCACGCCCGTGGACGGTTTACAAGTTCCTAAAACTTGTTGACGACTCATTTTCTCTAGCTTCTTCCTTTTAGACGCCACCATGCTTAAATGCATGATCACAATGGGGCTCAAAGTTGAGTGTTTGAAATATTCCCTACAATGATGAAGTAGATCCAAAAGCTTAGAGGCTGAACAAGATCGAGGCTCCGAATGTCAAGTTGCTTCGCCTACTAAAGGTTGTCCGGTGCGCCAGTCCTAATCGTGATAGAAGAACCTGATGGTTAAGCCGCATCGCCCGTCGTGTATGAGATTGCAATGGCCGAAATCCCTAGAATGCTCAACATTCCTCCTTCAGCGGCACTTGATGATGGAAGCACCTTTCTTTTGGAGCATGTCAATCATTACAAGCAAAGGACACGGCAATATTCCATCCCCCACAACGTGCTCGAGCGAGTCCTTTGCAAATTGTTTGGAACTACCCTAACAGGGCCTGCCCTTGAATAGATGTGTGATATCAAACGTGGTTCCATTACTATTTTTCAGACTTTGTGTAACAGGTTTTAGAAAATTTTAAACAACAGTTGCAAAGTTGAAAAGCAAACGAGCGACCTGTACCGTTTCGTCCAGACCAACGACAAGTCCATCAAGTCTTACTTCAGCATATTCAACAAGGAATTAAAATGATCACATCAAGGTTTATGACGTTCGAACAACCATATAATCCTTCAAGAGAGGACTATTGCTAGATTCAGAGCTTTACAAAGACATGACCAAGTATCCATCCTTGCACATCCTTCGAAGAAGTCAAGACTCGTGCCCTAGCTTAGACGACGCGACTGGAAGATGACATCAATATCAGAAAAGAGGTCAAGCCATCGCTTGCTCCTAGCAACAAAAGAGTCGAACGGCGGTCCAAAAACAAGAAAAAATGACGTCATAAACCTTATAATAGCCCAGGTAAGGTAAACAATGTCAATATTGTTGATAAAGTAAACAATGCACAAAGCTCTGTTGACAGGTCCCAAAAGCAAGATGTCGGCGCATACCCTGACATCACTCAGTATGGATTTTGCGTCAACATATGGGGCATGGTGAATGCCTTGTATTCCTTAGGTACTTTCACTCGTTGGCGTAGGAAGAGCGACAAGCCAGATGAAAGTAAAGACAAATCCAAATGGTGCGACTACCACAATTATCACGGCCATCGTACTGAATATTGTTATGCCTTGAGAAGAGATATAGCCTTCCTCTTACAGAAAGGTCATTGATAACTTGTTATTTGGTATGATTTTAGGGTACTTTTGAACCTTGTTTTCGTTATTATTCGGCATCAAAGTTCATTATCCTATTTTTATGCAAATTTTGTATCATCCATGCTTCATGGGTTGTTTTGTGTTTTTGATGTAATGTAGCTGTTTTTAGAACTATGGATGTGATCAAGCATGAGTGAGCAAGGAGAAGGGAAATCTTGGTTGATAGAAAAATGGAAGAATAAGGGTGAGTGCCTTAAAGAGAATGAAAAACTTTTAGAAAGCCTTGAAGGGTTGTTTGCACAATAGTCAACTTCAACTGACCATAACTTTTGTTATACTCAACATTTTTAAATGATTCAAATTGGAGATTAAATTTTGTCTCAAGATATTTCTAACGAATGGTCACAAGTTTATTTCCAATGAGAAACGAAGAAGTTACAACCTCTTGAAGTCAAGATGTTTATGCAGGGGTTTCTGCACGGACGTGCAACAAAATGGCACCCCCGTGTCCGTGACAAAATCTGCACGTCTGTGCAGACCTGCTCCACTCTTGGCAGTACGTTCGGCCTCATTTTTACCTTTCTTGCACGTCTGTGACAACTTTTGCACGTCCGTGCAAGCCTGTTTTCGGGCTTTTTCTCGTTTTCTTTGTCCTTTTTAGTTTGGGTGATATAAATACCTTCTTAGTTCCGATTGTTGAATGGAAATCCTTCTTAGTGTAGTTTTAACTTAGGTTAGGGTTTTTAGAGAGAGAAAGTCTCATTTTCTAGAGAGAGAAAGTGGGAATACTTGTTAAAGGCTTGGATATGAAGAATTGAAGGAAAGAGACTTGAAGATTTGACTATTTCTTGCATTATCAATGAGAATTTCTTACTTTTTCTCTTATTTTATTGCTTTAATTTCTTATTATTGTATCTTTTATAGTTTTATTACTTGTTTATGTTAAATTAGTGTATGATTTCATGTTCTTAGTTGTTAACTCCTTTAGTTTTGCAATTTATAATGATTTATGAGTAGTTCTTTTACTTGGGATGGTTGAAACCATTGATGAATTCACAAATACTTGTTTTCATGTGTTGAATTAGATAATGTGGGGTGTTAATTAGTTGAGCTTAAGTGGTTTCATTGTTAGTTCTTGTAAGTGGCCATTGCTAGAGCTATTTATCTAAGCTTCTTGATGAAGGATTGAGAGATGAACTTGAGTTAGCTCCCTTATGCTTAATGGACGTGAAATGCCATGAGAATAGGAATTTCCAGTCAAGGGAATATTTATGTCATTGTGATTATGCTTTAACACTTGCTTTATGCTTTATAACCATGAGAGTAGGTTTTATTCATGACTCAAGTAATACCTCTAGCTTGAGAGAGTAGTTGGGTGCCTTAGATGACTTCCCCTAATTTATCCCCAAATTGCTATGTTTTGTATGTTAAATTGTAGTTTGTGAATGACTTAATTGGTGGATACCTTCCCAAGATCCTTTTTATTATTGTTTGTAGTTTTTCCTTATAACTTAAAACCCAAAAAGACTTTACTTAGCTTATCACAAATCGATATTTGTTAGTGCTCCCCTTAGTCCTTGTAGGATCGACCCTTACTTGCCCTTTCTACCCATTAGAGAGACCAAGTTAGGTTTTAATCTTTGGTAGGCTCAACGACGGCCTATCAGTCATCTGAAGGAGCTGATGGGAAAAGGCAAATCGTGCAACAAAGAGACGTTGCCCCAGCAGTCTCCTAAAGCCTCGAAGATAACTAAGGTAGTCAATGTTATCTATGGTGAATTTGATATTTGTGGACTAACATACTCTGCACCAAATAAAATAGCAAGAACAGGTACCCCCCCTGAGGAAGTTGTCCCAAAAGACGCAAGATCAAACCAGGACAAAGCTTAGAAGCAATGTTTCTCTTCTTCAACGATTGCAACTAACTTGGGGGACTAACACGAAGAGCATCAAGATTCATTAGTGATATCCTTAGGTTTTTCCAAATGTTTTAAGAGTATCACTCTTTATAAAAAAATCTATATAAATCACACTCATATCTAATATGCTTGATTTCTTTCATGCAATTGTAAATGTTGTCGTTCACTTATTGCATAGATTTAGTTATAACTACTTTGCTAATCCTAGCATCTTCATTACTGATCACTTTCATAATAAGATGATAAAATTTGAGAGTGTCATGGATTATATGTGATTTAGGATTTATTGTCCAAGTGATGGCTCCCACTCATTTTCATGATTGAGACTTTCAACTTGACAACCTACAATCATTAACATTCATCAACAAACTTTCCATAGAACATCTTCTTTATTACCGCCATTAAGGTAACAATGTTCTTAACATATATTTTAGTAGACTTCCTGATGATGCTTTGCTTGGGTTTCACTCCAAACGGCTCACAAAAAATGATTTGGGATACCCTAATCACTTGTGATCATGGAAATTTTCCTTAAATTCCTGCACATTACACATGGATGCACGTCCATGTTACCATTATCAAGCCACGTCTTATTGTTAGCTCGTGCATATAAACGACTTCCTTTTTAAGGATCTAATCCTTGTTAAGGTTTGTGCTTGCAACATCAATTCTCAAATTGTATTTGTTTCCACAAGTCAAGAACTCATCCTGTTACTTATCCAAGTACTTTGGATGTTCTTGGCCATAATCTAACGATCTATTACATAGATTCAGGTTGATTGGTACTACATACATACTTCACATGCTCTAAGCAAGTAAGTCGTGCGACGATTCCATATCACAACGTACATGATGGATTAAATTGCAGAGTAATTCTCAATCTTTTTTCCATCAATTTGTCGTTTTAGCTCATTCAGTTTCACTGAGTCTTTGCTAAACAGTTTGCTGTGTGATATGGTTGAAAGTCTCTATTAGTGTCTTTCATGTTTGACTTTGTATTTAGCCTAGCTTATACTTAGTTCAAACATTTACTTAGTTTTATACATACGGGTCAAAAGTCTTTCAAAGTCCTTCAATTCATGTTTAGCACGGTAAAATTCTTTACACGTTTAAACATTTTATTAAGTCTATATAATAGATCTTAATACCAATATGTACGAAGTATCGTCTTTTGCTTGGTC